AGAACATGTCATAAAAACAAGTCCCAGTGCCTTTATCAATGGCTTCTCAGTCAGCCCCTATTGTCAGTCACAATCAGAGAGTCTGGTTTGATCACATGCTCATTCAGACACGGTCCAGCTGGATTTGGTGAGCTCCCATTAGAACAGGGACACTGCCTCAGTTGGTGGACCAACCCCTTGTGGTCCTGACTTCCTTGATCATCTTTTCACTTTTTCTGCCTTTCAGCTGGACCTTGGGAGCTCAGTCCGTTGCTCTTACAAGGGTCTCTGTCTCCATCCATCACCGGACAAAGTTTCTAAGGTGATATTTGAGATAATCATCAGTGTGATAGTGTGGCAAGAACAGTTCAGGCACCCTCTCCTCTGCTGTCAAAGGACCTAACTGGGGACACCCTGTGGATACGTGGGATCCCCTCTAGAGATCTTTTTGGTTTTGCCAAAAAGATTTTGGTCTTTTGCCAAACCTAAAATTGATCCCTTACTGTAGTTTTCTTCTTCTTCCCTGCTTCTATATCTGCCCTCCCTCCATCTCCACCCTCCTACTCTTCCAAGCTCTTGCCTGTCCTCCCCCTCTCCCTTCCCACTCCTGCTCTCCCTTTCCACCAAACTCATCCCCACCCCTGCCCCCAAGCCCATGCTCACAGCTTTTGCCCTGTAATATTGTTTGCTTCCAATTTCCAGGAGCATCTATATGTGCTTTTCTTTGGTTTCACCTTGTTATTTGGCTTCTCTGGTTTTCTGAACTATGGGATTAATGACCTTGGTTTATGGCTAGAGTCGACAAATGAGTGAGTACATACCATATTCATCTTTTTGTGTCTGGGATACCTCACTCAGGATAGTGTCTTCTATTTCCATCCATTTGCAGCCAAAATTCAAGGTGTCATTATTTTTTACCACTGAGTAGTACTCTAATGTGTATATATTTCACACTTTCTTTATCCATTCTTGCATTGAGGAGCTTCTAGGTTGTTTCAAGGTTCTGGCTATTACAAATAATGCTGCTATGAACATAGTTGAACAAATGCTTTTGTAGTATGATTGGGCATCTCTTGGGTATATTCCCAAGAGTGGTATTGCTGGATCCTGGGGTAGAGTGATCCTGAATTTCCTGAGAAACTGCCACACTGATTTCCAAAGTGGTTGCACAAGTTTGCATTCCCACCAACAATGAAAGAGTGTTCCCCTTACTCCACATCCTCTCCAACAAAGGCTATCATTGGTGTTTTTGGTCTTAGGCATTCTGACAGGTGTAAGAGAGTATCTCAAAGTTTTTTGATTTACATTCCTTATCGCTAAGAAAGTTGGACATGATCTTAAGTGTCCTTTGGCCATTTGGACTTCTTCTTCTTTTGAGAATTCTCTGTTCAATCCATTGCCCCATTTTTTAATTGGATTAATTAGAATTTTAAAGTCTATTATCTTGAGATTTTTTTATTTATTAAATATTTTCACCTCCTCCTCGCCTACCTTTCCTCTCCCCCTCCCCACCTCCCCCTTCATCTATAGTCATAAGAGCAGTCAGGGTTCCCTGCCCCATGGGAAGTCCAAGGTACTACTCCTCCATACAGGTCTATAAAGGTGAGCATCCAAACAAACCAGGCACCCACAAAGTCAGTCCATGCAGTAGAATAAAAACCCATTGCCATTGTTCTTGTCTTCTCAGTCAGCATTCATTGACAGCCACGTTCAGAGTGTCCATTTTGATCATATATTTCATCACTTCCATTCCAGCTGGCCTTGGTGAGCTCCCATTAGATCAGTCCCATCATCTCAGTGGGTGGACGCACGCCTCATGATCCTGACTTCCTTGCTCATGTTCTCCCTCCTTCTGCTCCTCATTTGGACCTTGGGAGCTAAGTCCAGTGCTCCAATGGGGGTCTCTGTCTCTATCTCCATCCATTGCCAGATGAAGGTTCTATGGTGATATGCAAGATATTCATCAGTGTGGCTATGGGACAAGACCAATTCAGGCACACTCTCCTCTGCTGCCAAAGGAACAATCTAGGAACCTCTCCTTGGACCTGGGAACCCCTCTAGAGACAAGTCTCTTGCAAACCCTAAAATGGCTCCCTTAATTGAGATATTTACTTCCCTGCTCCCATATCCACCCTTCCTCCATCCCATCCCTCCCATTCCCCCAAGCTCTCCTGAATATTCCCCTTCTCCCTTCTCTCTACCCATCTCCCCTTAAATCCACCTCCCCACACCCCCATGCACCCATGTTTTGCCTGGAAATCTTGTCTACTTCCAATATCCAGGAGGATAATTATATGATTTTCTTTGAGTTCACCTTATTTAGCTTGTCTAGGATCACGAATTACAGGCTCAATGTTCTTTGATTATGGCTAGAATCTACTTATGACTGAGTACATACCATATTTCTCTTTTTGGGTCTGGGTTAACTCACTCAGTAAAGCGTTTTCTATTTCCATCCATTTGCATGCAAAATTCAAGATGTCATTGTTTTTTACTGCTGAGTAAAACTTTTATGTGTATATATTCCACACCTTCTTTAACCATTCTTCTATTGAGGGGCACCTAGATTGTTTCAAGGTTCTGGCTATTACAAATAGTGCTGCTATGAACATAGTTGAACACATTCTTTTGTAGTATGATAAGGCATCTCTTGGGTATATTCCTAAGAGTGGAATTGCTGGGTCCTGAGGTAGGTTGACTCTCAGTTTCCTGAGAAACTGCCACACTGATTTCCACAGTGGCTGCACAAGTTTGTGTTCCCGCCAACAATGGATGAGTGTTTCCCTTACTCCACATCCTCTCCAACAAAGGCTATCATTGGTGTTTTTGATTTTGGCTATTCTAACATGTGTAAGATGATATCTCAAAGTGGTTTTGATTTGCATTTCCCTGATCACTAAGGAGGTTGGGCATGACTTTTAGTGTCTTTTGGTTATTCGAACTTCTTCTGTTGAGAATTCTCTGCTCAGTTCAGTACCCCATTTTTTAATTGAGTTAATTAGAGTTTTAGTGTCTAGTCTCTTGAGTTCTTTGTATATTTTGGAGATCAGACCTTTGTCTGATGAGGGGTTGGTGAAGATCTGCTCCCAATCAGTAGGTTGCCTTTTGTCTTACTGACAGTGTCCTTTGCTTTACAGAAGCTTCTCAGTTTCAGGAGGTCCCATTTATTCATTGTTTCTCTTATTGTCTGTGCTACTAGGATTCTACCTAGGAAGTGGTCTCCTGTGCCCATGTCTTGTAGACTACTTCCCACTTTCTCTTCTATCAGGTTCAATGTGGTCAGATTAATACTGAGGTCTTTATTCCATTTAGACTTGTGTTTTGTGCATGGTGATAGGTATGGATCTATTTTCATTCTTCTACAGGCTGACATCCAGTTATGTCAGCACCATTTGTTAAAGATGCTTTCTTTCTTCCATTGTACAGTTTTAGCTACTTTGTCGAAAATCAGGTGTTCATAGGTTTGTGGATTAAGATCTGGGTCTTCGATTTGATTCCATTAATCAACATCTCTGTTTTTGTGCCATTATCAAGCAGTTTTCATTACTGTAGCTCTGTGATAGAGTTTGAAGTCAGGGATGGTAAT